CCAACCCCCAACCACATAAACCTCTTACCCCCCACACACACTATACAAAAGTAAGACTGTATTTTGAGCTATCAGCAATCGCCTCTAGATACACTACGCAAACGCACATAAATCAGAACAATTTTTAAAAAAATAAAATTAAAGTAAGTCATAGTAGTTGTTTGATTTTTTTAGTATATGATTTTTTTTCTGGGTTCAAGATGGCGACCTTCCCCCCTCCAAAAGGAGTACTTCTGGGGCAAGGTGAGGGACTTCCAGTGGCAAAGGTTAGGGGTTAAGGATGACACTTCCGGTCCCAAGATGGCAACCAGGAGGTGGAACACTTGTCAAGGAGTGGGGCTACCCTTGCAACCCTCAACAGCTCAACGAAACTAGTTAAGCTCTCCATCCAAAATAATTGCCCACCCCTGGTCTAGTGGCGCCAGATTCACTTCCCCCAGGGACCTCCAAACCACCTCCCAAGAGATCCAGATTTCATCAAGGCATGACAGGTAAGTGACAGGGAGAAAACCCTAGGGCAGGGAGGGTGCAACATACGATCCATGGGCCAGATTTGGAGCCATATGATCCAGACCGTGGATCCTGACTAACCTCTCACACCAGATGTGATGTGAGGAGCCAATCTGGTGCGTGGGCTGGACCCAGTGCCATAGGCACTGTTCACAGCACAGGGGCTTACTCCAAGGCACACACTTCCTGTGCCAGAGCCATTGGACTGACCCTATGCACTGGCTCCAGAGCTGGCCTAGTGGGGCACCACATGTAGCGTTGGCCCTGTGCCACATGCAGTGCCACAGTGCTGGATCAAAGCTACATGTCATGTAGAGTGGCCACTGACACATCCCCAGAATACAGGACATCCCCTTGGGGGAGAGAACCACTAGCCCCCTCAGCCAATCACCAATGAGGGGTGGGGACACTGCCTTCTTGGCCAATCAGCAGCAAGAGGTGAGGCCACCACAAAAAGACTACCTCCCTCCCTCCCTGGCTCAAAACCCTGCTCCTCCTGGCTATGCACTGCCCTGCCTCTAGATGCAGCCAATAGAATCCTGAGGACAAATGACTGACATGTATTTCTACCAATAAACTGAAAAACAGGACTTTTGCAGTCACTTCCTCATTTAGAAGTGGACAGGGGATAGAGGGTTTTAAAAACAGGACAGTTCAGTATACAACAGGACCAATGGCCACCCTCATGTCATGTGCAGCACGCACCAATCCCACTCCAGGGCTTGCAGTGCTGTGGTTGGTGCTCATGACCAGCATAGGGCACACACTGCAGGCGCACCCTACCAGACAGGCCTGCACACTGGCTCCAGCACACACAGGTGGCCTCAGAGAGGCCGGATACAGACCAGCGCCAAAATGCAATAAACCTTCTTCTGCTTATCTCTGCTTTTCGAGATGCACCAAGCTTAATTCAGCCTCAGCCTTTAATTGGCTCCCTTCCGGTCTCTGACTTACTCTCACCTCCCATAGACTCCATCCTGAATGCAGGACCTGCAATCAACAGATTAGCAGCAATCAGCCTGAAATGCACTGCAGGTTTCTAACAGCAACCAAGGCCCTCTGTACATGGGGAAACTGCAGACCAGCATAACCAGAGCAGAAAGTTATTCTCCTATAACTATTTTGGAATAGCTCCCTGCATGGACACACTGTTCCAGTACAAAATTGGCTTTATTCCAGCATAATTGCTCACAAAGTGACTTCTATTCTGGAATAATGTTCATTTATTTCACTGTAGCATTCAACTTCCCTGTGTAGACAAGCTCTAACATGGTGGAAATAAGAGAAATCCTGCTGGCCTGTCCCTGACCCCTTTTGCTCAAAGTATTACGTAAAGGCCCCATAATTTATTCATGCACCCTCCCATGAGAAACAGGCTTCATTTTACTCATCAAATTCAACAAGCATTCATGGGTCCTACCTTCCTGCCAAAGCTAATGGACAGAAATTACACAGGAAAATATTAGGGGGAGGTAGATATGAGAAAAAATGTTGTTTGCAGTGCTTCCTGTACAGGAACAGATCTTGCCTGTGTGCTCAGTCAATACAGTTCATTCACTAGACTGCCAATTCCCATCAAAAGAGTCATTTTTATGCTTGCCCATTAAAAAACCAAATGAATGAAAAAGAGCAGAACTCTTCTTTATATACAGCCCAGCTGTCTCATACATCTAATACTCCCACATATAAATGTTTTCATTAAAGAAGAAGGGAAAAAAACGACAAAAACTGGAACTGAATCCGGTAATTTAAAATGGCCAGCAAGACCTAAACCTACACCATGTAATTACTGTCCCCTCAAGTACCACGCACAGTCTGAAATAAAGCCACCCCAAAAAAGGAGAGTTTGGAGTTCTTTTAAAGTTTTCAAGAATAATGCTTCTGACAGAAGATTTTATATGGAAATAAAATACTTTATTGGGTAATTAAATACTGCTTAGTTGAAGCTTTCGATAACTGAACAAGCAGTTTATTACACGGGCAGCTATCCTCCAAAGCTTAACAAACCGTGGACCAAATATGAGAAACAAATACATCTCTTTTCAGTTCTATGGCATTTCACCTACCTTATTTGCTTATCCTGTGCATGTCAGATGGAGGAAGAACCATATCTCATTTAATGGCTTAAAGAAAGTTGTAAAAAAATAAAGAGTTAAAAAGGAAGTCATCTCAAAGTCTGTTACCCACTGACACTCTTTGGTGGCTGAGTTTGTAAGAGAATTTATAATGAAGTGCTCTGAGGATAAGAAGTGAATAATCATTGCAAAGAAGCACCTGGAAGAAGTGAAATGATGTGATGTGATGTGATATGAAGGGCCAAATTCTGTCTTAAGTGACACCTCGGGGAACTTTGTTGACATCAGAGGACTGCCCAGGGTACAAGCTGTTACAGAACTCAGTCCAGATTTTGTAAATAAGGATTTCACTTTTGATGGCAAGAGGATAATGTCTGGTTTCTCTGGCCCGTAGCCGAGTTAAAACCTTGTTTTCCCACTTTATATAAAGAAGGCTCTGAATACAATTGTTCCTGGGTATCATAAAACAGCTTCTCCCAGTCTAAGGCTTTGCACTTCTGATAACCTGTGATGGTGGGAAGAGGATGAAAGGAAACTTTCTATTTTCTGCAGCTAAAGAAATGCTAAAGAAAATATTTCCATAAAATTCTGTGCAAGATCAGCTTCTTAGATAGCCAGGATAAAAAAAAAATTAGGTTCAATTTTGACATGCTCTTCTCTCCAACTGTGTGAGAAAATAATGTGTTCTAGTCCAGAGATCATTTGCTGTAGCTTATGTAGTTTTTAGAAACATGTTAAAAAGAGGTTCACACTTCAAACCCCTTTTGTTCATAGCCTGTGCATTCTGAATCTTCAATGAATCAATTCCACACAAGGGAAAAATATTCCCATTCAACTATACATTTCTCACAATCCCTCAGATGCTTTTAGTAAGCATATTTTCTTACTGCACAAAAAACCAACAATCTTTTATGAAATACTGAAATCAGATGACAAAGGTGAATATAATGTATGGCAAATGAAGTTTATTAAAAAGAGCTAGAATCCAAGCAAGTGTAAAACAACAATGAAAGTGTTCAGTCAAAAAAAATATTAAAGCTAGGATAATGAGTATTTGGGAGCAAGATTTGTGGATGCCTTGATTCCCACTTCAATTCACAACTCCACATTAGGTGGCTATCCTCCCTGTCAGAGGTGTATCAACCTGGGCTGCAGTGGCAGGACAGGGGGCAGCACGCGACCAGC